GACTCACAAAAGAGGTCAAAGTTTCATTTCAAATGCCAGCACATTTTTAAACTTAGGGGGTTATGGTACTAATTAGGGGACACTCTCTGTTCCCTGGTGTACCTGCTTTTAGGAGGTTCAACTACACATTTCTGATCTAAGATTTCATATTGCAAGGTGCAAAGACTGATCAGCTGACTCTGTTGTTACAGGGTTTATAGAGCGGTTGCGTCCATGTTGGAGTCGTTTGGGCAGTGACTGGGTGTTCTTGCTGATTCTTGGAATAGTAATGGCACTTATAAGTTTTGTCTTGGATTTAGCAATTGACAAATGCCAAACGGGTATGTCAAATTAACCTAAAAATTCTTTTTATTTTGTAAATGGTAAATTACTCTTCCATAGATTGTATTAGTAAATAGGTATTATTATTGACAATTTTTAAAAAGAAATATATGCTAAGGGGCAGTGCTTGCCTCCTGGCATACATTTCTTTGTAAGTTTAGGGTCCCATATTTTTTATGAGTTTGCAACTACAGATTCTTTTCAAACTTCATAGATTTACTAAATTCAGCATGATAAACTGAACTATGGAGGTGATTTGTTTGAAAAATAAAAAAAAAAATTGTAAGTATTGCATGATATTGGTAAAAAGGTCTATCATTGACTTGAATGTTTCATTGAAATTTGCGGAAAGAGTGTTTTGCCAGTTGTTATTGTTGTTAAATGACAGCCAGTGTCACTCATTTTTAAATGAATGTTACAAGCAACTTAAAGTAAATAAATATGGTATACAGGAGAGATAAAGGACGATGACTTTTAACAATAACATTGTATTAATTGTTTTTGTTATGTTTAATGTTTCAGCCCATATTTGGTTGTACAGTTTACCAAGCAATACTTTCCTGCAGTATATTGTCTGGATTTCGTTTCCTTTAGTCCTTGTAACTTTTTCTGTTGGATTCACTTACCTTGTTTCTCCTCATGCAATAGGTAAATCATTTTAAGCTCAACATATATGTCTGGAGATGCAATTATTAGGAGTCAGTTTGCCATTCAACCAACAGCACTTTTTGTTTAGTAATTTCACTTGCTAGTATGGGCAAGTAAGAGTACACCAACAAGTGGTATACAGTTTCCATTTTCACTGTGTGAACATCAATTGGCTTTGCATAAAAAAAAAGGTTATTCAATAAGATTGGTTGGTCAGTCAGTCTGCCAGTCGGGCAGTCAGTAGGTCGAATAGTAAGTCGGTCGGTCAATCGCGCAGTTGGTGTGTCAGTCAGCCAGCCAGTCAGTCAGTCACTCGGTGAATCAATTATATTCATTTGATTAATGGCAATTGTATTAATTTATTACTTATTGATTCACAAATAAGTTTAATTAATCAATTAGTTAATGGCTTAATTATTGTTTGATAAATGTAATTTTATTTTCTAAACTCCAGCATTTCATAATTTCTTGTTTGGTTCTTCTTTAGGTTCAGGAATTCCTGAGATGAAAGTAATTTTAAGAGGCACAATATTAAAACGCTACCTGTCACTTAGAACATTGATTGCCAAAGTGGTAAGTTAATTGATTGCATACATTTCAAATCATTTTTAAGCATGAAGAAGAAAAACCAAGATTGGCCATAAGTAAATTATTTCTTGTTAATCACCAAATTATTTTAATTTGGTTTTGCACTATTTTTTTGTTGGTTTGTAGTTTGGCCTTCTTACAGCTCTGGGAAGCAGTATTCCTATAGGAAAAGAGGTGAGTTATGATTTATGGGGTGATACATACATAATTCAAGGAGGGTTAGGGAGAGAGTCAGTTACGGAAAATCTTGTAATGACTTTGTTTTTGAGGAGGTGTGGTGGCCTCATCTTTAGTGCACTTGCCTCTGGATGGAGGAGTCCGGGTTTGAGCCCTGGCTGGGAACATTGTTTTGTGTTCTTGGACAAGACACTTTACTTTCACAGTGCCTCTCACCACTCAGGTGTATAAATAAGTACTGGCAATTATTCTAATGCTGGGAAGTTACCCTGCAATGGATGTCCACGATGGACTAGCATGCATCTTATCCAGTCCTGGAAGGTAGAAGTACTCCCATTCACTTCATGTTACAGAAACCAGAGATAAGCACCAACCAGAGGGGCCACTGGGCTTGTATACATACTTTACCTTTACCTTGAAATGACTTTTCCATTGGATGAATTTAAAACCTTATTGTTCCCCTCATTTTTGTTCTTCTCCTTGATGTTTACAGGGCCCTTTTGTGCATATTGCAAGCATGGTTGCTCGATCCATGGGGAAGTTTGTGGCATCATTTAAAGGCATATATACGGTAAATGTTTTTTCTTTAATTTGTGCTCTTGACTAATTAAATTAGCAGGTTTGAGGAATATTTTTTTGGTTAGGTCATGGAGTATCGAGGGCTCAAATCCCATCAGTAACTTGGATTTTTTCCATTAAGTTGATGCTATTTCTACATTTTAATAGTTTTCTGGATCAAGAAAATTTAATCACATTTTTTACTTCTCATGAATGATTGTTGTTTCCTTGTAGAATGAGTCCAGAAATACAGAGATGTTAGCAGCAGCATGTGCTGTTGGTGTATCAAGCTGTTTCGGGTCTCCTATTGGAGGTGTGTATGTATGCATTTTTTGACCAAGCGTGTGTCCATGATGGCTGCATATCAGCCAAGTTCCTATTTGGGTATTTATGTACAGAGAACATAACAGCTTGCGCAGGGTTTGGTTGAATTTTCTGCTCTTGGAACCACCACTATTTATAAGAAACCTAGTTTTAAGTCTGTACATGGTAAGTAGCCATAGTTGCAATATATTGTGCAAGTTATAATTAGTCAACATCTTAGTAATGCATATTAACTGACATTGTATTTTTTAAGATTGGTTTGACTCCTGTTGAATACAAATGTAATCACACTTGCCAATAACCAGGCTTTTAGCCAGGATTTGAAAAGTGGGTGTCAAAATGTGCTCAAATCAACAATTTATAAGGCAACATATGAAAAATTAATAAAACAATTTTCTTTAAAAAGTGGCCATCCAAAGGATGCCTGAATGCCAGTCTGGCTAAAAGCCTACTAATAAGTACTGCATGTTAATTGTTTTCTGCTTGAATGTGAACTGTACATCAAGGTCAGTGTTACTGAAAGTCTTGTTTCTTAGTTTCATTGTACACAATTTTATTTGAATTTGTTCATTGTTTTAACAGGGGTTCTATTCAGTATTGAAGTAACAGCCACTTATTTTGCTGTGCGAAATTATTGGCGTGGATTCTTTGCTGCTGTGTGTGGAGCACTGATGTTTCGTCTTCTAGCTGTGTTTGATAAGGAAGAAGGTCAGTGTTCATAATCTGGGATTTTGCTGTGATGCTAATAAGAGATTACTGGACAGTGTTATGTAGGCGCCATTCATAAAATTCATACAAAACTACATCTGGGACCTGAGTGGCTTATGTTCTATATCCTCACTAATAAGGTTATTGATGATGTCAATTCTCGCTTTTTCAAGGTTGTTTGTGCAAACAGTTAATTTGTCTAGCATACATTGTACATTAAAAAGAAAATTACATGGTGGTTTGAAGATATGAATTTTTTTTAATACGTAAAAACAATATTTTACTCTCTTGTAGTGCTTGTTCTTGAAAAATTATATTGTTTTTATCACTCAAAAATATAATTCATATCTTTGTGCTGTTATCTAATATCTATTATATCAGTACATATATAGTGTAATTATTAAAAATGGAATTCATATCTTTGTGCCATTATCTAATATCTATTACATATCAGTACATGTATTGTATAATTATTATTGGTACCTTTTCAGTGCTTGAACATCAAACATCAAATCTTCCATTCAGTCATTTTAGTTCTGACAATTTGTAAGTTCATCTAGACAGTATCCCCAAATGTTAATCATTTGACTTTCCCCCTCTAAAGAAATTACAATTTATTAGTGTTGTGGATTAAAAACATTCATCAGCGTTAAGTTACATGATTCTTCCAGTATGGTTTCATCATTCATTATAAATACAGTATTGCTCAGAAGTAACCTAACACTTGGCAAAAGGCGTTCCCTGTTACGTTACTTGTGAGCGGTACTGTGTTATTACTTACTAAGAACTTGCAGCTTTTACAGCTTTGTAATTTTGTTTGTTTGCAGAAACTGTAACTGCTCTGTTCAAGACAAATTTTCGCCTGGACTTTCCATTTGATGTAGAAGAGTTCATTGCTTTTGCATCAATAGGGTAAAAACTAGAATTTGCCTGTTTATCGATCTGCTATTCACTAGCTTTGACTGATTCATGAAACTGAATTGTGATGAAATCTTCTTTTGCAGGTTGTTTTGCGGTTTTGGAGGAGCCCTGTTTGTATTTACTCATAGAAAGCTTGTTGATGTTCAAAGAACTCACAAACACACCAAGGTGGCAAAGTTTCTGTCAAAGAAGTAAGATTTGGATAACTGTGTTTATAATAACTGTTGGGTCATAGCTGCCTCATGTTTTAGAAACCAGAGAACATCACGATATCAGTTACACCATTTGTACTACCCATCGAGTGAGAATTATTAGCAATTGTAGTTAATTTTTAAGCTCAAAGACTTACCTTTAGTCATTTCTTTCCACAGCCATTTCATGTATCCAGCTGTTGTCATCTTCATCATTGCTACAATAACGTTTCCTAAAGGATTTGGACAGTTCATGGCAGGAGAGGTGAGGGTCAGCTTCAGTTCATAACAGTTACATTGCACTACTTTCAGGGGTGTCTCAAAAACTAAGACCTAAGACCTAAGACACCCTCCGAATCTCAAAAACTAAGACCTAAGACTCCCTCTGAATCCCAAAAACTAAGGCCTAAGACACCCTCCAAATCTCAAAAACTGAGACCTAAGACACCCTCCGAATCTCAAACACTGAGACCTAAGACATTCTCTGAATCTCAAAAACTTAGACCCAAGACACCCTCAGAATCTCAGCAACTAAGACCTAAGACCCTCTCTGAATCTCAAAAACTTAGACCTAAGACTCCCTCCAAATCTCAAAAACTAAGACCTAAGACCCCCTCTGAATCTCAAAAACTAAGACCTAAGACACCCTCTGAATCCCAAAAACTAAGGCCTAAGACACCCTCCGAATCTCAAAAACTGAGACCTAAGACACCCTCCGAATCCCAAAAACTTAGACCTAAGACACCCTCTGAATCTCAAAAACTAAGACCTAAGACACCCTCAGAATCTCAGCAACTAAGACCTAAGACCCTCTCTGAATCTCAAAAACTTAGACCTAAGACACCCTCTGAATCTCAAAAACTAAGACCTAAGACCCTCTCAGAATCTCAAAAACTAAGACCTAAGACCTGCTCTGAATCTCAAAAACTTAGACCTAAGACCCCCTCTAAATCTCAAAAACAAAGATCTAACTAAGATCCCCTCCAAAATCTAAGCCTCCGTTTTCAGAATTGACTTTTGGCATACATGTACATATATAATGAAATGGAAACTTGATCCTTAATGAACAAGGGAAATATTTGGAGCTAAAAAAGTAAATTTAACACACTTTAGGTTCTGAGTTGAACAAACAATGTACATTCTAAACCTTTAAGGATATAATAACCTTCCAAGGTATTTGTTGTTGTTGTTGTTAGTTGACGTCAAAGCAAGCAATAGATGAGCTGTTTATGAACATCACATGGTCTGAAGCAAGAGAGTCTGAGGATCAAGCCAGCTTGAACGTTCTAAAGCACTGGGATGGGGCTAATACTAACATCTATGTCACCTTGGTCATATTCATTGTTCTCAAGGTATGTTGTCACTTAATCATCAGCTGTGATTGGCTAGGTGACTCTGGATATTTGTTTTTATTAGGTGTGCTGAGTCTACAGTTCATGTTCATAGAAGACAACATTTACATTTTTTCAATGTGTTTTTTAATATATTATTTATTTATTTTTTATTTTTAAACATTTAGACTGTTAATAAAGCAGCTCTATCAATATGTTGTTTAACCCTATTTTCAAATGATTGCGGCAACAATTTCCGGTAGTTTGTAATTTAGGGGTTATGAACTTTTTTTTTGACAGTTTATCATGACAGCTGTGTCAGTAGCTTTGCCAATTCCTGCTGGTGTCTTCTTCCCAGTATTTTTAATAGGTAGGAGAAACCCAAGTTATTAAATAACTAATTAAAAATTATTTATTGATGTTTACTTAATAATTTTTGTCTTCCTCTTTCGGGAGGGGTGGGCTGAATTGTATAGTTACACTTTGTATATTTTTTGTTAACTTAATAATTTTGTTAACTAGCTATTTGTTTTGAGTCGATAGTGTAGCTTTGGTGTTTCTGCAATTTTTTCTTAAAGTTTCATTCAAGAAATAACTAACTATAACTATAACTGCGTTATATTAATTCCATGGTCTCCCAACGATTGGGCATGGTCAAGATGCTCAAAAAGTTGGTTGTTTCTGCTAGTATAAGTTTCAATATGGAAATTTTTGCTTTTTCAATGTCTCATGCGGGGGCTTCATTAACTTTTTCAGCAGGAGTACAACTGGTTTTCATAGGGATGCAAAACGTTTTGAACTGAACTTTGTTATAGGAAAATTTCCTGTGGATGAGCAAACCAAGTGGACAAAATCATCCTCATAGCTGGTCAATTTGCCCGGTACCTGGCCCTTAATGAAATCCTTGCTCATGTGGAATGGCCCTCTCACACATCTGCATCTTTTTTTTTCATCTTCAGGAGCAGCATTTGGTCGGCTTGTAGGTGAAGCCATGGCAACATGGTTTCCTGACGGTGTGAACTCTGGAGATGCTGTAACACCCATTGTCCCAGGGGGGTATGCTGTTGTCGGTAAGTGGGTGAAAAGAAAGTTCATGTATATTAATGTCCAAAAACTATGTAAGATGAAAAAATCCTCTTGATAGTTTCAAAATGTAACTTACTTACTTACTGCCCTTATACCTATGTGGGGTAGCGTGTGGGGTAGCAACAAAATTTCTCCACTCCTGTCTGTTCTGGGCTAGCTTCCGAATGGTACTCCAGTTGTGGTTAAGGGTCTTCAGCTGCCTCAGCAGTTCTCTGCCAGGTGACTGAAGGTCTTCCTCTTCTTCTTCCTCTTCCTTCAAAATGTGAAATTTACCTAGCTTTCTTTCTTATCAGCTAATTCTGGATCAGTCCATGCTGAACTTCTTTAAAGCTGTTTTAAACCTATCTGACTCACCTTACGAAATTGTGTGAGCCTAGAGACTAAACATTGTGATGGTCTTTCCTTAATTGTGGAGCTGAGATAAGAGGATATTAAGTTAATCAGTTTAATACTCATACTGATTGTTGTTTTGTTTGTGGTACAGGAGCAGCAGCCATGTCAGCAGCTGTGACACACACTATATCGACATCTGTGATTGTGTTTGAGCTCACAGGACAAATCACTCACATTCTCCCTGTTATGGTATGTTTATTGTGCCATCAACTGTCTGCCAAAGCACTTTATTAGTAGCTAGACACTCGAGTGTGTCCTGTTAGAAAACCTGAGAATCCATTTTATTGGTTAGAACTATTATTGCTATCCATTTGCTGGTAGCACATGATTGGACTCACACAGTTGGCCTAAAAAGCAAAAATTTCTCTTAGCCTACCTGATTTTTGACTCAGAAATATCAGAAATTGTAGGTTTCTGACTGTTGCCATTTTCTCTACAGATTGCTGTGTTGATAGCTAATGCTATCGCACAGTGGTTGCAGCCATCATTTTACGACAGCATCATTCAAATCAAGAGGCTACCTTACCTTCCCGACTTAACAAAAACTCAGTAAGTATGCATAATGATTAGCTTGATCACAAATTTAAAATCAAAGTTCTGCAGAAATTGACACGCTGCTTCATGTACCTGTAGGCGGGGATTCTAATTTTGGTATGAGTCATTTTACGGATGCCTCAGCTCCTGTGTCACAAACTTCTGGACAAGTTTTAAACTAAAGACTTCCGAATGAACCACACAAAAATGAGAATTTATCTCTCATCACAAACAAAGGCTTCCAAGATTTTGAGATCATATTAAAAGTTTCTGTTGCCCAATCTTTTAGAAATACATCTAGTGGTAATATAACTACGGTATATCACAGTATACCACTTGAAAGTGTTGCATATTATGCAACGCTTTCAAGTGGTATACTGTGGAATATCCCACAAGTTACTTGTCTTTTCTTGGTATATGCATGAGCCTTTGGAGAAGTGTGTATGCCAAGAAAATACAAGTGATAAGTGGGATATTCCATCATGGTATATCACAAGAGAGCATTGCTTAACTATTTTACACCATGCCATAGAAAATACAGTGCCCAACACACCAATGTGACATGTGTGTTGTGCATGATGGGAAAGTTGGATGTAATACCATCAAATGTACAATGGCTTTCCTATATTCTGATTGCCTGTATTTTCGATGGCACAGTATAAATGTTACTTATTTCCCCTTTTGTCTTATGGTTATTTGCTTTCTTTCAGGATCAGGAGTGTTCAGATCTTCATGTCCCCAAAAATGAACAGCTCTCTATAAGGCCAATTAATTTTTTTTTCTGATTGTTCTTTTATCTTTCAGGGTTTACAACTTGCTTGTTGCTGATATTATGAAGACCAAACTTTTTTACATCTCATATCACACTAAATATGCCGACCTCAAGGATCTACTGGAGAAGTCAAATCACAGGTCATATCCACTAGTGGATTCTGAAGGTACTGCAGCTATCATTCTTAGATACAGTTTCATCTAAGGGCATCTGCCCTTTTCTTCTGTTTAGCATCATCCAAGGTTTAGATCAATGAGAGAAATCAGGAGGCTTGATCACGCTACTTCTTTAAGCCTTGAATTGTTCCGTTGACTGTGACATTTATTTATTACAAATCTTTACTTAACTTTAAGATTCTATGATCCTCCTTGGCTCCATTCAGCGGCCTCAGCTCCAGTCTCTTTTAAATCAACACATGCAAAAACTGATCCAGACCAGCAGTAACGCAGAGAGTGAAGATGCGTTATGTGTGAGACCTGAGACACCAGACTCGTTGCAGTTACAGTCTGAGTAAGTATTGGTGGAACATTGAAAGAAGTTATAAGAACCATAGAGATGCAAGGACAGATTACTGAGCAAATAACTTAATTGGATATGAAGTTGTTCAGTACCATTTATTTTTGACTAGAAAACTAAGGCACTTTTTTCCTAAATATTTCTCTGATTTTACACCTTCAAACAACTTGATCATTAATTAAATACATTTTCATATTGCCGTCTCTTCAGCATCATAATTTGTTGCAATAGATCTGTTGTATATGCTTTTATAAAAAAACATGTTTTTTCCCAGGCTTGTAAACTGCAATCTGCTATTTACTGTATGTGAACTTATAAAACCTAATAATTTTGTTTTCAAAACAAAACAATAATAGATTATCTGGCCTTTCTGATATTAATAGAAATTACACTATTTCCTGGCTGTGGTCCATCTGACTATATAATTGTGGAATACCGCGTCTGTTCAAGTCTTGCCGATGGGTGTAGTTTGAAGCCACACCCTAAAGACGGCAAATAACACTTACTTATTAACTGTTGTCACTGATAATAATTTTTTCAGCAAAGAGAGCAGTGATGATCAGGGCCCTCCTTCGGCTAAACTTGAAGTGTCAGCTGATGTATCCATAAAGGTATGACATCATGTACTCTGACTTGTAGTTACTCTGTGTGTGTTATTTTTGACTGAAAAATTTAGTACCCTAACTTCCAAAATGGTGAAATTTTGTTGTTGTGAGCATTTTCCTGGTGCTACCTTGACTTGTCCTTGGTACATATAGTTCCCAGCTAAATTCCTTTGTCTTGCCATGTAAACAGCCAATAGGTGGGCCTTCTATGAGGTTGGATTTTTATCTGTGAATAATTTCTTTGAAATGTTACTGCTTATCTTATATTAGAAAACATGAATAACCAGCCCTCTGCTTGTAATTATGCTGACTGACCTTTCACTGTGACTATTTTCAAGATAGGTACACTATCAGGGAGAATAACAAATATTATTATAATTAATAATAAAAAAAAGTGCTTTTCAAGAAATTTTTTTCAATTTTTTTTGTTCTATTCTCTTGTGTCAGAGACAAGATAGCCACCCTCAAGGAGCAAGTCAAAGATCTTCAACAGGAAAGTCTTTGTTAGAGAAAATTCCAGGTAACATCAATCTACAGCAGTTGACCTATCTGTAACAATGCTTCCTTGCCATTTCATGTAGTTTGCAGTATGTTTTAAGTTTTTGACATCAGGTAACTTAATATTACATAACATATAAGCATACTACTTTTTACTTTCTTAGCTCCAGATAGCAAGGTTTATATAAGCTAAACATAGTGTTTTTCATCTGTTTGATCTATATTTAATGGAATGAATCATATCAAAATAATAACATGATTGTTTCTTATTTTCTCTCTTAGTTCCTGCAAGACTTCATAGACTGTTTGGTAGTGCATCACTTCTGGATGATGCTGAGGTTGGTAGCAAAAGCAACCAGTTATAAATGTGATTGTTGTGCTGTTCCCCTTTCTCAGTGATCTTGTCAGAAGTCTTAGCTGAAGTTCACCAATCAGTTTTGCAACCTGGATGAGAATTTTTTTTGTTGAAGTCAAGATTCTGACAATCCTGTCAAGGGCTGTTGTTAACTCCTGTTTGACTGTCTGCGCAGGACTTCAATGTTTTTGTTTGCATGTTAATTACTATTACACCAAATTGATGTGTTTTTTTTTAAAATTAATTTTATAGAAAATTTCTGAAGCATCTGACAAAGACAGTCCAACTGCAGAACAGGTGAGTTGCAGATCAAAAAATAAATCAATTAGTTCCTGTAAGGAAGGGGTGGTAACAGGGCAGTATATGACATTTGCACACTGCAGACTACAGACTACAGACTACATTTTACACCTACATGTAAATGCATGTAGTGCTCCGGTTAGCCTGAATATCACTCAGGTTAGCCTAAATAGTGCTCAGGTTAGCCTGTTCAAGGTTAGCTCTCAGTAGAAGAATTGGGTGTATGATACTACCTAAAATGTCCACAGTTTGCAGTCTGCAAATGTCATACACCAGCAACAGGGTACATGTATAGGCGCTGAGAAGGGAGTATCTTGCTAAATCCATGCAGCACCGATCTGATCATTCTTGAATGTGGACCTCTTGATACGAAGCTCACTGTAATTAACTTAATCCTAAGACTGAGGTAACTATGTTTTCTGCCCATGAAAGTCCACAATTTCCAAAAAGTTAATTGCCATCAACATGTCTGTCTGAATTAGTCATACTAGCTTAGCTGTAGTAATGTTATCAACAAGACTCCATGTCTTAAATCCAGTATGTTCAGACACAACCTCTCTAAGTTGGTGTGGAATATTTCACTGCTGTAATCATACTTCATCAAGTCTACATGTAAATACCTCTTTCTCAGTGTATGCATGAAATATCACTGGCCATAGTCAAAATTCTAACACAGAGCAACATGTAAGATCTGCTAGGCACCTGTTGATGGCAAGTTAAAATTAGGTTAATTTTAAGCATGGAGTTATAAATTGTTACTCCTAAATATCCCAACCTAAAAGATTCTGGTCAGAGTTTTGATGATCTGAAATTGTCTTAAATACGGTTTCCTTGATGCATAAGATTTTATTCCCAGACTAAGTTAAGCTAAATCCTGAAACAGTTGACAGTGACAAAGTTATTAGTTTTGTGATTTTTCCTGGTGAACAGTTCATGATTCAAACATTGATGATTGTGTTGTTAGAACTCTCTTTTTATTTGATTGTTTCTACAGCAACTTCAGTGGGAGAAGGAACTGTTAGAGAGACCTGTTGACTATAGTAGCTGCCAGATTGATCCGGCACCATTCCAGCTGGTAGAAAGAACATCTCTGTTGAAGGTAATTGTTGAGCAAAGCAGAAACTGTAAAATCATGAGGGGAAAAAAAGCTCTTTGTCATTTCACTCAAAATAAGGTCTATATGGTGAGCTCATTTTGAAAGTGAGTCTAGCAAAAATACTAATAATCTTAGACTTAATAAAATACTAAATGGTGTCAGTAGTATTTTGACACTTTGAAACTTGGATCACCATGATTAATTTAAATTGTCTAAAATTTCTAGGTATATGGGTTATTGACCAAGTGTGAGGTCAAGATGGCTGGATATTGGCCAAGTTCTTTTTTTGCGAGTTTATGGACTGAGACAGAGTCGAGGTCCATAAACTCGCAAAAAATGAACGAGGCCAATATCCAGCCATCTTGACTGAACAAGCTTGGTCAATAAAGGATTTATTATATGGCTTTCGGGGAAATTTTTCTTGCGGAACACGGCAGGTAGTCCCGAGCGGGCAAGATAGCTCCATCTTGCCCGCTCGGGTAGCCAATCACAGCGGAGGATTTTCTTCATCTTGCCCACTCGCGGAGCTAGCCATATAATAAATCATGTTATTACCCTGATGAAAGAAAATATGTTGATCTGGTGCTTCATTATTCTTCTGTTTAAGTTAACACGAAATAATTGTCTTAAATTTAATGTGAACAAAATTTTGTGTTAATGGAAGTGAATAAATAATAATAATACTTTTTGTTTTTATAAGTTAATGAATTTTATTTATTTATTTTTTATTTAACACTCAAATTCAGTTACACAGGTGATCAAAATAAATAATTTCTTGCAGGTTCACAAGTTATTTGCACTTCTTAATCTGTCACATGCCTATGTAACCACTCTAGGGCGACTGGTGGGCGTGGTTGCACTTAAAGAGGTAAGCATTAGTAATAGTTTGTAAATTAGAACACCTTTACAGCATATTGATAAACAGTGCCACATGGAAGTGCTGCTAGGTAGCTTTCATTTCAATGGTCGTGAACACTCTGCTTAAAGGTTTCATCCACAGAGTTAAAAGTTAGAGCCACCTTGTACAGCAAAGTAGAGTGTCACATGATCATGTTCTGTTCAAAAGCTTTCATTTGAATATGGGTTTCACATGTGATTCATGAGCTGCCTCGGTTGATGTTAATGCTTGTATTTATTTTAACCATAGGTTCGACAGGCAATCGAGGGTGAGCGATTTCTAGATGCTTCCCATGTAGATGCGGTGGAAGGGGACCATAGAGGCAGTTTTACATTGGCACAGGTTCAAGACGTTATGTTGAGGCCATACTCTGAAGCGCGTGCCACAAGTCCCACTAGTGAAGATTCAGATCCCGCACTGTAAATTGCCGACTTAATGGAACAAAGACAGCTGGCCATGAAGTGGTGTTTGTTTGGTTTGAACCCGTAGGCAGAGTCCTTATGTACTACAGTAAAAGTATACAAGGCTTATGAAACAAAGATTTAGTTTACAGAGTTTCATACGTATGAGAATTTTGTACAAATCAATTACTGGGGTTTCCACTCTTTTGGTGGAGAGAGAGCGTGTGTGAAAAATACATGTTAATTTTATTTAGAAGTGTATTTACTTCTAGCTGTTCTACAGCTAGATTGAATCATGGTCATGTATTAAAGGGTGCAAGAGTGAGTGTATGTACATTAAGAAGAACAGGTATTTTGTAGTTGGTTGAGTTGCAACCTGGGAGATGGAAGAGATTTCCATGTAAAGGTGATGCAACATTCATTAGAAATTTTAAAATACTAAGGCATGGTTGTGATCACAAAGAGAAATGATGATGTCATTGCCCAAGTTTCGTTATTCAATTTTTCATTATTTTTGGTTTACTTTGCAAACATATGTCCAAACCATAATGTGCATCAACTATCAACAATGTGTGCTTATGACAAGATCAATGAATGTCATGCTCAGGCCTCAAATTACACCATGTGGCTCATCAGGCACTTAGGGATTTCTGTATTCATTTGGTTTTTGTAGGTGGAATGATTTGCCTCATGCGAGCCCTACCCCTGAATTGGGAGGGCGCGGCAGGGGGGCAGGGACTATTTCTTCCGTGACTCTTCCATAAACCAATCAGGCATGGTTGAAACTACCAGGGGCTCAGGCCCCAAATAGCATATCTTTTGGGATCACAAAGAGGTGACATGCCCAGGGTATAGCAATGCAATTAAAGATTGTCCTTAATTCACAGGCTACATGAAACTTGCTTTATTCCATAATTAAAAAGATTTTCCAAACAGTGCCAAGTTACAAACAAAAAAAACCAGGTATATTATCACAAGGATATATTATTTTGTTTTGTATTTAGAGATCAGAAGAAAATTTTAAAAAACATAAAGATTTGATTTTCCTACTAAAATGTAATATTAATAATTAAAAAGAGTTTTTCTGAAAAATTAAGAAAATTGAAAAAAAAAAAAGATATGTCAGTTTGCAAATAACAGTTCAGTTGGTAGTGTGGTACTTTTTAACCTACCTGTCAATATTATTGTTAATGGGTACTAGGTTTTATGAACGATGTGGTACATGTATTTCACAATCCATCCAATATTTTTTGTGATATGCAGTTGCTCTAAACACATCATACAATACAATAGCCTAGCCACTACAGAGTTGCCCATTGCCTCTGTGTCAAAACGAGTCTTCATGCGAAATCATTTTTATGAAAATGGTTTCATCTGTAAGTTTGTTTTCTTGTCAATCAAACTCATTTTCACAAGAAAAGTTTAGCATGAGGACTTATTTTGAAACAGAGGCAAAAGGCCACTTGGAAATGGCCTATTTGCTAATTATTTCCAAGTGATTTGTCCCCTAGTTTTCATGTTTTTGTTTCACATTTGTACATTCCATGTTTCAGTGGTCAAATAGCCATACATATTTGGCTGCCAAAGAGAGGTTGTTTATTTGTACGTCAGATTATTATAGGTACTTAGTTAAGTACTGTTTATATCAAGTTAAGATATCAGTGGAATTTCTTACTATTATGTTATAGGAATCATGGTAATAGGTGTAAAATTATGATATCCATTCTTATCCATAAAGGTTGTGATTTGCAGGGGAGAACGTAGTAACCCTTTCAAGACTAACCACATCACAAATTAGTCTATGTTCTATTGTTATTTTCATAATGTTTTGTGATATTTTTTTAAATAAAGGAGGAAAGAATATTTGTAATTAACTTTCAGGTATACAGGTAACTAAAAAAAGAGACAGAAGACAATCATGCATACACAAGAATGTGTTTGGGAAAACTCAAAATTTAGCAGGCATGCATTGGTTTACACAATGCTGTGTATAAACTTTCTCAGTCCTTCAAGCATGCAGGTTTGAGTGTCTCAGACATTTTCTTGCTCTGAACTTGACTTTTGCAGCTCCCCTTGTGGGCAAGAACTGGCCAAAACTAAACTCACTTGAAACAGGTTGTGTAAATAAGAATCTGTAAAATGCAACTTAGTGTCATTTACATTATTTAGTCAGCTAATTGGAGGATGCATTGTTTGCTTGCAGTTTGTACTAAAACCTGCTTCATTACTACCATGTGTTTGAATAATACACAGGCTTCATGTATGTAACTTTGAAGATTAAAGTAATAATTTTTTAAAAGCTTGTAAAATTTGGTTATTACCTGGGCTGTGCAAATTATTACTGGTGCTCAAATTTCCACTAGAATGCTTGATCTGCATTGACAGTGAGTATGCCATAATGCCTCTCTTTCATGTAAATACATTGAAAACCCATTTATATGGTCACCAACAGGGGTTGAAAATTTGACCATATTAACAGGGTAGGGTCAAGTTTCATGACTGGCCTAAACTGAGTGACATATTCACAGATATATCACAATTGCACTTGTAAACAACTGTTCTTTAATATGCATCCAGAATGCAGATATAATTTGTAAAAATATTGAAACTTCAATTAGTATATACAATATTAACAATAGATTGATAAACATGTTTGTTTGAGTAGCCGTATGAATGGGGTAAAATTCTAAAGGAATATACAGGTTGGGATTTCAGAATGTGGTTGTTGGCCGTATTAACGAGGTGATCACATTAACAGGGTTTTCTTACAAGAAAATGTATGGGTGTTTTGCTGGCAAAAGAAAAAATGGCCGTAATAATGAGGTAACTGTATTAACAAGGTGACTGTAAGGCAGGGTTCTACTGTATATTTCAAACACAAAAGACCATGTTTGACTACATTTACATTTTTTGGATGAACTTTGTAGTGTTTGAAAATATGGTGAAACACTATCTTTCATGTCTGTGGTATCTTCTCCATTCAAACATTTACTATCGACAAAACAGAGAAATAAAATTTGTAAAACTATGCATACAAGATCATACATCACAGTCAGGAGTTTGAGAAGTGAAATTGAAAAATCTCCAATAGTCTTTCAAGTAAATTACAAAATGAAATATACCCTAATTCTGTACACTGACAAAGAACTGCATTGAACATTTTATTGCAAAGTAGCTACATTATAATGCAGCTTTACTAATGAAAATTAATTACAGTCGCAAAATTCACTACATGCGCATATTACATTGAATATCCTGAAGTGCGTCATACAAGTTCAATTTTCAAAACTCTGTGGAACAACAAGGCAAGTTCTATCTATAAAATAAATACTTGTGAAATACTTACAAGTACAGGTTTCTTATGTTCACAAATTCTACTCTAATAGAAACATGAACTGTTTCTGTCTTTTAAAATCCTTCAAATAGCAAGAAAATTGTTTTACAGTGACGCTCAAGTAGTAAATAACAGTTACTTCCTCTGATAACAACAAAAGGTAAACCCTAGAAAAATTTACAGACTTGAGAAAATATGGGTGTTAACTTAAATACCTGTGTACACTGGGAAACAAATAAAAGAAATACAATGTTCTGGTAAAAAACAAACAAAAAAAAACTTCCTACAGTCAATATTCAGATTTTCCTGTGTTGTCAACATGCGATTTCTTTTAGTGTGAAATTATAAACCAGTTTGATTTTTATTCTTCCTTGTATCACATCATGGTTAAATTAATACAAGACAATGGTCACTAAAAGCCAAACTGATTTAAAAAAACTTAAACCAAGGACAAATATAAACCACTTGTAAAGAAACCAAAACTTGAATGTTTAAAAGCATTACAACTAACTTGTCAACTTAACTCAGCTACAATGATAACATTCCATTAAAATGCTATATTTTGAGCGCTGATAAAAGTCACGCAGACCTCTCAACAAAAAAAGCTCAATTAACAATAGAAACTGCGATGTCTTGGCCTGCTAAGCCCTTATGTCTACATACAAATTCTCCTTACTAGACTCTACATTTCTTGTAGTGTTATTTGGAAGAATTCGGACAACTATCTGTACTAGTTTTGGCTTAATGGTTTGCAATCATCGAGCCCACTGACAAATTTGCAAAGTAAATTATGACTAAAACTTTGTGATGTTAACATAAATTATTTCCAGCCAGTGCAGTCATTTCAGGTGAGACCTTTGCTGTGTGTCAGGTGGGCTCTCAACATACTCAGCGATCTGCCATTATTAGCACAAATGCTATAATGGATAACGCTACTGTAGACCATCCCCCGCCGTATGACCAGCTGAAGAACACATCAGATTGCCAGTTATGGAATGTATAGACCAGCAAGGCAATAATCACCGCAATTGCTGAAAGCAAGAACAAAACAAGCAAAATAAAGCTCAGTTGTAACTATAATAATTGCCTTTTATTAATACCATTCTTAAGATTGGTCTTAGTTAGTTGGTCTCAAGTTATTGCAGTTCAAACTAACGTCAAATATTCTTTTCCCTAAAAAGGGGATCCAAAAAGACAAAAGGGTCAATGCAAAGCAGAATTGGCTCTTTCACCTTGATTGTATGTCAAAGTACAACTTACAACTACAGTTTACCACCTAATCCATGCTTTAGCATGTATCATTGAGTTATGATGTGTTCTTCTCATTTCATTGACGATTTTAATTACTGTACTGAAAAAGCAGCTCTATACTGTAGCTGCTATGATCTCTGAGCTAATGCATTTTACATTGGACATGCAAACCATTAGCCTGCCAACACAGACAGATTGCTGGCCTTTGTTTTGACACGTCGTAGAAAACTTTTTAGGTGATGTGAAACAAAAGCTGCAAATCTGTCTGTGTTCACAGGCTAACAAACCATCTACTTGAAGAGTAGAATACTAAATTGAGTCTGACAAATAAAACCTTTAGTACCTGCAGCAACAAAAAGTCCTCCAATAAAAAATGAGGGGAATGGATGTCCTTTTCGACATGCAGTAGTCACAATGGTAAAGACAAAAGCAAATAAATGGCAAATCAGGCCAATGATCATGAGGGCAATCGTTGCTGCATTCCAATCTGAAAATAATCAACATCGTTACAAGTACTTATGCTGGTGTTATAAATAAAACTTATTCAGCACCAGAGAGGTACCCATAACAGAACTTTGGATAGTAATAATCTAGCATAAGCCAGTCTTTGATAGTAATAATCTAGCATGAGCCAGTCTCAAAGATTGTTAACAAAATTTAACAGAATGTGGTTGAGACTCTTCAGAGAGGAACAAATATTTGCCAGGAATCAGAAGAAGTTGCCAACAATATTGGCACATTCTTGAAAACATTTCCTTGGAAACTAGTAAAGATTGATCAGTACATTACAAAAAAGTACAAAGAACATTTTTACATTAAAAAAATCTGGATGGATGCTTCTAGGAATTTCTTCAGATTTTTCACAACCCCACAAGTAACTAGACCCCTTTAATTTATCAAGTAAAAAGTTTCTCTAAGTCTTTCCATAAAGGATGGTGCTCCCTTACTGACAGAGCAATCTAGTCAATGAACTAAGAACGTAACTGGAGACAAAAATCTTGCTATTAATTAAGCATGCATCTTGATAATTTTTTGCTATCTTGAAAAAAACTAGTTGAAGGAAAGGGAACAAATCACACCAGGAAAATTCCCTGACATGTTAACACAATTGACACAATTTATGCATGTAAATGTTCCTGATTGATGGCAATTATTGTTTTGTTTTGACTGTCAAACTTATGTCTCTAAGCATCTGTGCATTGTTTGAATTACAATGTTGAACAGATACAAACGTTTCCAAAAATAGAACATCAACTGCAATTTTTCCTTAAGAGAGCTTACTTCTCATACAAAATGAGCAAACTTTTAGGTGAATTTTATACTAGCTTATGATTAAATGTGACAGCAAAGACTACCTTTTATATGTATGTGTAGCTTGAGGATTCACACACTCAAACAAATATTTAATAATACCAGGCTTTTACACTGACTACTAACAAACAAGCATAAAAACAAATATATACCTAATGTGGCAGTTACGGGAATTTATTATTCTTTTAGATACCTCAAAGTTGAACCAGGGGGCCTTGTGCAAAACACATTACAGCATGCTATTTGTCATTCAAGGTTTAAATGAAAAAATAGTTTGGTACTGTAAAACTTTTGGATACAACTATTCAACTATTCTTCAGTTTTCAAAGGTCGTCAAAACTTTCAAATTACAATGGGATAAAATCCATGGCACATTAGTTTATTGTTAAGAAACTAATCATTGGAATTTCGTACATGGAGCATTCTAGAATGTATAACTCATACTCCAGGTGTGAAGCAATATAACAAAAGGTGTCTGCAATAATTAAATCTGATGTTTTACACAAAAAACTCTAGTTTGATGATGTAGATCATTTATGTAATACTAGAAGCTTACACATTGGTAAAGGACAACTATAAAATATCATGGATCAGAAATGTTTCAAACTATTAGAGTTCTTATTAATGATAAATTAATAATGGTGTACGAGAACATACATACACCTCAATTTAATTTTGTATCAGGCTTTTAGGAATCATCAATCACTTTTGACGATAGATATCAGAATGTAAAAGTTAGGAAAAAAGTTGTTTGATGAAGTTTATTTAACTTGATATATTATTTACACATTCAAGAGTTTATAAACAAACTTTGCCCCATTGCTAAGTCTGAAATCAGTCATCTGCCAGATAATTCTGCCAAATTAGATCTAAGCTTAAGTACTTTCATGTACTTGATTTTCAAAAATGTACCTGGTCTTCCTAACTCGTGCAAGTCAGTGCATCTGTCAACTGCCAGAACAGTGCCATTGATTGTAGTTTCAGAACAAGTTTGAAACAAGCCTTCATGATGATATTGAACTCCTTCAATTTCTTTATCTTCCTTCCACCATACTCGCCAAAAGTCCGTGGCGAGTGCCAAAATTCCCAGTAGAATTGCTGCTAAACAGCTTACAAAACTTGTTATCACCTTGATCATTGTTTTCTAGCGGCTTTCGTACTCTCAAAGTTTCGCTATATTGCTGCGTCGCTGGGTGTGTCAATTAATTTGCGAGGAATTTGCTGCTGGCTTCATTGAAATGCATGCTTGCCATTTATGCTCGCTTCACTTCACCCGTAACAATATTTTACGTATGATTTTAGAACTTGCGGTGCGATGGTTCACTGACTACAGTGACTACATAACCTTTACAAATTATCTAAGAGAAATCGAGTGAAATAAAACGTGAGATAAGTTCGCTGTGTACATCGATTTTCTATTTTGAAATGCAGAGAACGTAAGTCTTATGCCTGCTCTAAACAACAGAGCGCTTTACAGCTCCGCGGTAGGCCAAAGCTGTATCACGCCTATAAACTTATATTTTACAAGAATAACCACATCCAAAAGTCACAACATAAATAACTTGCCTGCCTTCACGTCTAGATAGTCCCCTTCACAACCATCTTGTATGAGTTCGTCAGTGATGTTGTCCCTGGCTTCATAGCAGTGATAGAAGAGTCCTCTGTAGTGTGTGATGTTTTGATTGCCAGAAATTATCACCCACTGAAGCCAGTACGTCGTGGCCAGGCTCAAAATGATCATCACCATCGCTGCAAAAGAGCAGACGATGGCTGTGATAACCTTGATCATGATTTCACCTTAGTTTTTGAAGACAGACGGATGGAATAATATCAACTTCACCGTTCAGTGAGTGGTAAGTCGGTTTTCGAAAGCCGCCGTAAACTAACTCGCGCAAGGTTTTATGGGTATGAGTGCCTGACGACACGCGGGTACCCACGCGGGTTAACGGGTTTCTCGAGGGCTCCAAAGGTGGCGGGATGGGGTGGGGCTGGGGAAGGGGAGCACAGCCTTTGTTCGACAGCGGAAGTGGGTTAGGAAGGCGCTCGGTTTGTCAGGAACCCTGAGTCAGGGAGCAATGTTAAAAAGGTCCCGTTATCTTATTTTATGCCATATGTTCCTTTCCCTTTCCCTTTCCCTTTTCCTTTCACAGGTTATTTAAATTCCCACGCCACCTTCACTTTATTTAGACTTTCTTTGGACTCGTCACGTGGAAGCAAAGATTGCGTGACGAGATCAAAGAACCTCTGCGTGGGAGGTTCACGTGTTTTTTTCACTGATAAATAACGGTGACATCATTTGTTGAACCAAGATTGAGCTTGAATAGTTTAGAAGGTTCTATCGCGTTCTAAAAAAAGGTGTCCTCAATCATTCAAACAAGAAGAAAGTTTTGGTAAGTTATGAGTGCAAAACAGTACACTCTAATTTCAATTTTATAAAAGTTATTTGCCTTCGATTGTAAAAAGACTAAAAATGAGATGTGTTAGGCCCCCTACCAGTTGGATGGGTTTGAAGTTTGTCAAATTAAAAAGCATCTGCAATGACAAACGTCAGACAAACTAAAACGTCTTATCATTCCGACTTTTCGCTGAGTTCAGTTTTTTTCACTTCACTTTTTCTCTGTTTTTAAAAAAGTTAGACTGTTTGGGTCATGCAGGTTTCCCAAAGGTACTTATCTGCATACGTGATTCTGTGAAATTCGTTGACCTTTTCGTAGTCACACTCGATGACCGGGCTGTATCAATAACATAAAAACTTGGATTTGATTGGTCAATTTTCGTTATGTAGCAAGGTCGTATAAATTCAAGCGACCTACACTGTGTCTGTCTTTTTATTTGCTTGCACACCATGGTTAGCAAATCGAGTTCCTTGCAAACGTCTTCAGCAGAATGGACGGGCAAATTGAACACCGATGAAAAGGTTAGGGCTTATATTTAAAAGCTTGTAGTTCCTAGTAAATTTGCCAAAAATCGGCTTCGGAAATTCAAACCGGTAGGTCGCTCACTGTCCACTACCCCTGACTCATATCAGAAGTCCTACGTGCGGAAATTTAAATTCTACCAAGTGATTTTAATGTGAAATATGATTTAAGTCGATGGTTATCATTCAGTCAATACCGTGAGCCAAAGGAAAAAAACAGCAACAACAACAAAATGGCGTTGCGTTTACAAGTGTTAATAATCTTTAGGTATTGCGACACAACTTACTCGGAACGAGGAATTAATTAACTTAGTACAATTCCGGTCACCAACGGGCCACAAAAATGTGGTGGCCGTTTTAAAGGGGTTCTTTAAATAAGAAAATGACTGACTGAGCTTTTGTTCGGGCCAGAACAAAGTGGCCGTAATATTAACGTGGTGGTCGAAAGGCGGGTTCCACTGTACAACTTGCTTCGCAGAAGATTGCGATCGATTCGTGTTCAGTCTGTACAAATGTGATGGGTATTTGTACTTCACGTAAAATAATTAACGACTCATGAGCGTCCGCGATGAACAGCTTGAGAACTTCTCGCGACACTTTCAGCCGCCCTCGTCTGGTTGTTGGAGTTAATGAGCGGCCGGCCAGTTAAAATTCGACCCAAATTCAGGCTGTCAAGTTCCAGAAATGAAATCGTATCACAGCGATGTCGGAGTATTTTCATATCACCGAATAAAGAGACTTGAGCTGGACAGGGGTAAAGAGCTGTTTCTATCAGCTCATACTGAGCCCATCTTAAAAGTTTATATCAACTGACTCAGACGAAAAATATATATTATTAAATATCCACAGTACAGGGAAGAAGTCTTTCACTGAAAATTCGCTCCGCATTCCTACACTCTCTCTCTCTTTCCTCAGGAAGATTTTGCATTTTAAGATTAGGTTAAGGTGTACGTGAAATTATTTTTTAATGTATTTGCCATCAGTCAATAATTTCCAGCAGTGCCTATCACCCTCCCCCCAGGGGCAATATCACGTCTTAATTGTGGAGGGTGGGACAATTTGAACTTCTATGTTGTCACCAGTGAGGAGATAAATGGAGATGTAAGCAAAAACAACAAAGTGAATGAGACTTTTTCATTGTGAGTTATTAAATTTTGAGCATTGTCAGTTTCTGGATGAGCCAGGGGTGGGACATTTGCCTTCTTTTTTGCACTCACCCCAGGGCATTTAACCTACTTATTTGTCCCCACCCCAGTAGCCTGCAAACACAGACAGACTTTCTGCTTTTGTTTCATTCTGTCTGTGTTCAGGGGCTACCACCCCAGGGAATTTGCTACTGTTTTAAAAATGGGCTAGGTTTGCCCAGTTGGAGGTGGGCACTACTGGAATTGACTCTTGCATAACATGTTTTCTGACTCAGAATTTTTCTTTGTCCCATGCTCGTGTTATGTTGATTAATTCACCTTCACATTTCATTACCAAGCTTAAAATTCACCATCTTTATTAACTTATGTTTTCTGTTAATTATTTAGATGGGCCGTTTTGGAACACTCTCCTTGAGTCTTCAGGAAAGCAGTGACTCTGTCAAGGTTCCCATTTTGAAAGCGGCTGAACTTGGAGAAAGATGGCCAGTTCTACTGTGGTTCTACTTGAAGACATTAGGACTTTATCATTCTGGTAATTATGACGACAATAGCAGACTCCTTTTATATTTATAATTTATGCATGCCTGGACACTTGAACTCTGGTCAGCTCTCATAGCACTGACAATATGCTGACTATAACTTGGATTTGCCACTCATCAGCACTGTGAATCAAAGTAAACTGTGTTTAACCCAAGAAAATACAATTATACAGTGAAGTATATTGATCAGGCCTCAATAGACCTTGAATTCTTCAATTCAGGACTTAACACTATATTTAAGGGACAATATCCTCCTGATTGTGTTTTAATTTATGAATAAATGGCCAGCAGCATGGTAATATGAAATTGCTTTAATACTGTATCTTGCAATAGAAAGAAAAAAAATTGTCAAAAGTGGTGAAAGCAAAGAAATATCATCCAAAAAGAATACAAAAGAAAGTCTGACATAAAGATTCAAAATTTCATCATTCAGAGTTGTTCACGTCTTATCAAAGTGATGAACTATATCCTTGTAATCCGCAAATGTTCTGTTCTTCTGTAGAAGTATTTATTTGTATTACTTGGTGGCATCAGTGATAATACACTGTATTATGGAAATTTACGAAAAAGGAAATTTGATTATCAGCCAAAAAGACACTGTCGTTTTAAAGTGACCATCGTATATTTCAGTAATAACCCAATGTAACATGCCATTGTAATTCCATCCTCGTAGATCAGGGATCATTAAGGACTTCCTAAAATGTCTGGAGACTACACATTTTATTTCAGGCACACAGTCAAAAAGGTTTCATTTTCGTAATCAATATACTATTTATTTATTTTTTCTTGTTTTGGGTTAGGTCGCCTCGTTCGCCCCAAACTGTGCAGCAGATGTGACCACTCATCAAAGAAACGGCATGCATTTTACTACACTGAAAATCAGTGCAAAGTGTGCGACAGCCTGATGTGGGATCACAGGGGCGTACCGACTGCCTTCACTGATAGCGACATCGGGTCATCATTCTTCAATCATTGTGGAAGTGGTTTTCTGTCGCTGATTTGGCTTCTTCTCATCAGTGGTGTCACATTAGCAAACATCATACTGTTAATAACTCGCTACCATGATGCAGACTGTGACATAGTCCACGTGCTCTCCTGGATTGGCATGAAACTCTTGCTGTACATTGGCCCGTTTACGTGCCTCATTTCTGTTGTCCACACCACATGGCCGACAGTGTTCATGGGAAGTTGGTCAAATGCCTTGGCAGTGGAATTTCTTGTTCACAGGATGCGATTTGTCAACATGAAGAACAAGCAGTTTGCTGGTTACGCTCTCTTCCTAGGAAGCCTTGCTATAATGTGCACACAATGCCTCAAGATAGTGGCACCTTATTTTGACCCAGTGCTTGTGTCACCCATCTCTGCTAATGCCTCTTTGTCTGGACTGACTACTCTTGTTCCTCTTCACTTTTTTGTCGTCATAGAGGGCTACATCAATTTTGGTGGATTCTGTTACTTAGTGTACCTTTTGCGTTGCAGCTATGAGTCAGAGATTCGACTTATCACAAAGTTTCTGCATGACAACATTGGAGACATTGACTTGTGTAGAGCTCGCCTGGCAGAGGCATTTGATGCTTATCATATATTCCGAGAATTTGCCTCAGGCTGGATTGCCTTGAACCTAATTTTAAGCACAGTTTGCCTTCTTCTTGAGTTGCACATGTGGATTGTCAAAACTGCACCACTGGCGTTTTTTCAGTATGAGCACTCGTTCTTGTTATTCTTCTTTTTACTGCTGCCAATCGTCTCCCTGGGTAACGTTGATGTGGATTATCTGTGGAATCGACTGGTCCGTCAAGTCAGTCGTCAACGCTTCTCAGAACAAGAAAAATCCTGGGATAAACTGATGCAGTTCCTTCAAGAGCAGCGTGCGGGGACCCGTCCGTGGCAAGCAGTACT